GGCTTTGTTTAGGAGAATTAAGCAAACAATGATTAAATGAAGAACAATTGTAGCATTTCATTAAGTAAAATGGAAGACTTACAAAGATCCAAATCAGCCTCGTAGAGGTTTATAACAACAAACTACTCGAAACTACTCCTATGAACGAAGTGCAGTGTAGGAGTTTGAAGTACAAAAATGTAAAGAATAAGAAATGTAAAAATTGGAAGGAAAATAAAGTAGATAAAATTGGTTTTTTAAATCTGAGTCTGGGGACTCTTTCTAGGACCTTCTCTGCTATTTATACTTCTCAATGATAACTGTCGAAATGAGCTTCTAACCATCAAATCATCACTCCATGATTGCTAATCATGTTTTCTCACAATTAGCTCCACTACGCCATGTCTACAGTTAGGCTTCCCTCTTGATTTTTGAATTAAAATATGAGTAACCGTTAAAGCCACGTCATCTTGCACCTCTCTGCTGATTCAAAGCTATGTAGACCCACAATAACCAATACTAACTGCCACTTGTGTGATTACGATTTGAGGATTTGAATTGTCTTCCCGTATTACCCTCATCCTGCCACGTGTTAAACTGTGATTGGCCTATACAAAATATATAGCCAACATTACCCCCCGCACGAATATACCAAATACTTGGTGATATTAGTGGATCAAGGTATTTTACCCACGTCTTAGAACGTGCATGGGCTTTGCACTTTTCAGAAATGCAACCGTCATTCATCAATAAAACATTTGCATTAAATTCTCTTCTATCCTTTGATCATCCCCCACTATCTCAGTATTCGAAAAGACTGATACATCTTTCATAGCCAAGCAAGTCTTTTCTTACATTGATCAAGCATACGAAGAGTTATTTGATAATATTGTTCGTCCTTGAAAGAACATTCATGCATTGATTAGCCATCTTTATCCGCCTCCATTTATACAAGTTATGGAAACTTTCACAAATCATCGACCTTCGAACTAAGAACCTATTGCTTACGATTCTTTGGAACACAAATTTGAGACCATGGATATCGGAAGTTCTTCTTCTGCAACAAAGCCATCCGCGTGGGACGAAGCTGCTACTTCTTCTTCTTCGATGACCTCTAGCTGGGGAACTTTGTCTTCCCCTACTCAACCTCAGACGAGGAAACGCATTCATCATCGTTTCCTTGAATTCGATGACCCTCTTGAAATTCCTCCTTCTAAATGCAGTTATGTAGTATATCCATATGTTCCTATTCACTGTAGACGCAATCTTGAAGACAATCTGCTTTCAGCATGGTATACTTCTACGTTGCCATCTCGGATGGTTCGAAGTGTCCCACGTCTTGATGAAGCTTTAGGGATTAGTCCTACGCTTTTAGCCAAAAAAGCAAAACTTTATACACCTATGAAAAAGACAATAAATTATAAAGGTTATTTGCATAAATAATGAAAAGAGGGAAAATACTCTAATTTGAATTATAAAGGTTATTTGCATAAATAATGAAAATGATGTGGAAACATGAAATTGGTTTGAAAATCATGAAATTGACAGAAATTGTGATTAAATAGTGTAGTTGAATTGATGAATCACACACCTATGGAAAAGACGATAAATTATCTGCTGAGAAATTTATTTATTTGTCTAGATATATCTATTTTGGGCTAGCGGTGGAGGGTAACCATGATTGTTGTAGAACTTGCATGATGATTATGTAAATTGAAACTAATCAATTGGAATATGTCATTGAATATGACGGTTGGATGTAAACATTGTATATGTGATTGAATTAGTCATTGCATATGACAACGTATTTAAATACATTGTATATGTATCATTGTTTGGGAAGAGATAGGGAATGGACTCCATGGATAATTAAGTTGGTCGGAGTGTCCAGAGTGAAAGTCTCGAAATCTTATTTATATTTGGGTGCCGATTCCCTCGGACGTAGTTCCGTAAAATGGCAAGATAATGGAAGTGTATGATTGATGATTATAGGTGAAGTGTTGATAATATGAGTTGTAGTCTCATTTTGAACTGTTTGGATAATATTGAGCTATGCCAATAAATTGATTTGGATACTTAAAGAGAAGTGGACCTATTATGATGTAAATGTTGATTGATTATAGAAATGGTGTAAGTTGGTTCATAAGTGGTAAACATTTATCGGATGCTAACGTTTTAGTTAATTCTCATATAATGTTTAGCATATCTCTACTGAGTATTGGCTCACCCTACTTGAGACACCATTTTTCAGGTATAGGTAATATGTCGCCTCCAAGGTCTTAGTTTGGGAGGTTTAGGAGTTGAAGACTCCGCTTTGTTATTTATATTTGGGGTTAAATGTAAATCCAAGTTGAGGGCTTTTATATATAGAGTTAGAACTCTTCTTTTATTGTAACCACTTGGAAAGCTGTACATTTATTTGTTTAATACCTTTTGTAAAGAATACTTTGATGAATGTAATATATGACATTTCTATTATGTTTTATGGATTTTATGAATTGATGATTATGTCTTATTTTGAGGGCGTTACAGTTATATATATCAATTGGTATATCAATCACTGCTGGAAAAATGACTTTTAGCGGCATTTCAAAAACGCCGCTAAATGTATGAAAAACGCCGTTAATTCCTTTAGTGACGCTTACCACCAAACGTCGAGGACGCGGCCGTCGCTATAAGTTTATGACGCTTTAAAAACGTCGTAAAATTAGTATAGGCGGCGTTTTATAAACGCCGCTAAAATATGGCAGCCAACGGTAACATGACGTCACAGACATTCAGCGACACTTCAAAAACGTCGTAATAGCTTTTTTGTTATTTTAAAAATATAACTATAGTGGCGTTTTGAGAAACGCCGCAATAGATTTTTTTATTTTTATTTTTATTTTTTTTTGGTAAAACTACTAATTTTGTAAGATTTAACTTTAAAAATATACCTGTAAAATAGCAATAATGAATAAAACTTTGTACCCAATACAACATCCTTCAAGAAAAAAATCTAATAAGTTCAATCCCAACATCATTCTACCTGTGTATGTTTTATCTTGGGCAAAAACATTAAATAGAGAGAGTATAATATCTACAGAAAAGCTCATCATCAACAGTCCAATAGAAATTAAAAGAAACAAATGCCAAAGGAATGAAATTATATCCCACCAAATGCATTTAAATTGTTTATTGATAGAACATTTTTAGAACACATCAGAGGATTTACAAAGTGCCCACAAATCTCTGTTGTGTTTTATACAAGTGCATGAATCAATCACAAAAAGAAAAATAAAATAAAATCTGTGATTTCTCAAATCAATGTCTTCAATTTGGAATGTTCACCATCTCAGCTTGGCTGGGAAATACTGCAAAAAAAAGTTCACTAATTAAGAATGCGAAAAATCAAGATAAAAAAAGATTTATCTTGTTTGGACCTTAATATTGTTGCATTTGTCTCCTTGATAAATGTTCAGCTTGGCTGTCTTTCTGTAGTAGGAAGAATATAATGCAGTTTTTTTGAGAATGCAATTATTTTCTGATAGTTTGTTAAAATAGGTTCCCTCTATGGGTCTGTTCTACCCTATGCTTTTGGTTCCAGATGTGCATCCTCCTCCACCCCGTTTTTGGTGTGTAACTTTCAAGATTTATGGCTTTACATTGTTAAGTTACTTGTGTTGAATTACTTTTTTTCCTTTTTCTTTCTCCTACCTTCTAACATACTGATTTTACTTCACTAGGTTTAATGACTATGAAGATATGCTGGAAGATACATGGCATATGGAATTTCCAAGAAGAAGTGATATGTCAGATGGTTTGTATTCCAGCATTAATGGTGGGTTCCCAATGTGGGACAGCTACTCATTTTTTCAATCTAAACCAAAGAAAGAAGATTGCATTGGCCTTGTAGAAGCTATCACAAAGAGCATTCTTTCAACAGGTAGATTGCTTTCAAAAGTGATATGCTCTCATAGGGGAAGATTTACATCAAGGCCATGTTTGTTTGGATGGACATGAGCTTGGGATTGGACTAATAGTCCAATAAAATTATTAATTCGATATTTGGTTAAACAATTGAAGTACGGATTAATTATTTTAAACTTGACTATTAGTTAAGATAGGATACATAATCCAACGAATTTGTAGTCCTAGGACTATTAGTCATGAGAATGCTAATCCAATCCGCCCAAACAAACATGGCCCAAGAGTTATCTGTTTGGTTCTCTATTGACAGGGCGTATAGGCCTCCAAAGAAAATTATTTTGTAGCATACAACTGGTTAGTTTCGGAGTTTGTGTAAATTGCGCAGAGTACTACTTTACATATACTAGTTTTGGCATAGAATTAATGATACTGTTATTTGTTTTAGTTTGGTGGTGTTGCTTTGACAGCTGGTCTCATTTCTGCTGCAGAAGAGAGGTTTGTTTAACTCTTGCTTATGTAGTATTAAAGAAAGTACTAACTTATATAATCTATTATGATGCTTTATACATTACACAATTCGAAGAGATTCGTAATTTAAGTCTGAACAAGCAGAAACACATTACAATAAGCTCTCATCTTAAAAGTTAACCAGAAACGACAACTACTTAGTGGTTTCATCTGAGGGAATATACGAAAAGCTAACCGTGAGGCATTCCAAAGGTTATGAAATGTTGAAGCTATTCCCTTCTTGCGATTATCCATCAGCCGAATGCATAGTAAAGACTGCCTTTGAAGAAGGCAGCATGGATAACTTGTCGACCATTGTGGTTCCATTGAAGTCAGCTGGTCTTCTGTATAAGAACCTGCAAAATAGAAGCAGCAATGACGAAGCATTCAGTCTTTAGCTTTGCATTGCTTAGGATATTGTACAGTAATGACAATATACTAATTGGTTGAATTGGATTTTATTTTATTTTTATTATCAATCGACACGAGATGAGCTACAAAAATTACAAATATTATGCGAAGTATGTTAAACTAGACATTCACGAGTACATCATCATTATTCTACAGTCAAATGTATTGACAAAAAAAATTCTTTTCCTTTCCCTTGAACAAATCCTAGGTCCCAAACATAGCATGGTAGTATTCTACCCACAATGTAGCGATTATAAAAAATATTAAAAAAAAAAACGCTCCAAAACCTCAATAGTACATGAAAACTCTAAAACTCTTAACTTTCAAAAGTTATCAATCCTATCTCAAATGAGTTTCAGAGCAAATGAAAAACATGCTCTGTTTGTCAAAGTAGAAACTTGAAGAATATCGATCTGATTGCAGATGCCTTTTGAAAGGCTAAAATGGCTGATTTTCCAAAATCACAAATTCTGTCCAGCGGGTTCTTGGGGAAAACCAGTAAAATTCAGTGGAATTACAACAGCTGACAAGTTGTCCCTACTGCCTTTCTTGAACGCTTTGTTGACAATGCGGTCAGCCAATGAGGAAGAGGATGAACATGAACATGAGCTTTTGGACATTTCATTTACTTGGACATTTGCATCCCATAAAAGATCACAAACTTTCTGTGGTTTCAAACTCTCGAAGATGCCATCAGATGCAACAACCAAATAGCAATCATTGGCAGTTAAATGCCGCCAACCTATCACTTCAGGCACGGGACTAACACCATATCTGACAGTTAAAAACAAAATAAACTGTGAAAAAACGTCTCATCCCTAGTTATATCAGCCATGTAATAATGATCAGTGCAAAGTTCACACGTTTGACAGAGAATGATAATATCAGAGATCGGCAATGGGCTCACCAAAACTATTTGAAAATTACATAATTCTCATCATTACCATAGGATGATGGCTAAAGAGCAGAACTAACAGCAAAACATAAAAAAGTGAAGAGGAAAAAGATGAGCAGACTAAGCTAACTTTAGCTTCCGAAAATTCACCTTTTTAAGTACACATCACCAATAGATCGGGATACAGCTAAGATACCATTGACACGAGGCACACCCCACAAACGTACAAACCCACCAGCAGCTTCTATTCGGGCTCTCTCATCATCTCTATCTGGATGATGATCTCTTGTCAGTTCTTCCACATCAAGCACTGTTATTGAAGCACCTGTTATGTCCAAATGGCTTGAAATAAGACTTCTAATTATGGGTATACATGTAGATTAGTTGTCATATGCTAATAACATGCAAGACAAGTGTATTTTTTTAATCTAGCAGTGCCTAGTGAATGTGAGTCCAACCACAAAGGGACTTGATAATAATGGGAAGAATTAGACCTTCATCCCCCAAAGCAGACTTGATTTTCTCCAAGCACAGGAGTGCTTTTGAATCACCAACACTAGCAACTAAAATTTGACCATCCACCAAGAGAACGATGGTGGCCGTGGATCCAGAAATATATCTGTTATTGAAAGCTTCCTGGGAATGTAGGATGATCACAACAAACTAATGAGAAACACTTGTTTTGAGAAAGAAAAATGTAAAGACTGAATACTTACCAGTGAAAATTTTGTATCAATATCATGAATTGTCCTCAACAAAGCTTTTTGCAGAATTTCATGCATTGATTCATCACCAGATACAGGTAGACCTTCATCAGAACTATGACAACATAACAAAAATAAATCAGATATCACTAACCTATACTTGATCTTCTCTTTACCGTACAGTAAAGTAGTAGTGAGATGATCATACGAGTCAGGCAAGGAATTTAACAATAACAGTGCTTTGTCTTCATCACCAACGTCATCATCCAAATTCTTCAAATCCGTAATAATTTTGTTGAAGTTATTTAGGTGTTCGTTCATCGAAATACCTTTAACGTAGTCGAAACGAAACAACCTCTTCCTCAAGTAGAGCCGGTTCTCAATGCTCTTTGTCATGAACTTATCTTCCAGCGCCTTCCAAAGCTTCTTCGTAATATCATATTCTGTAAAGGCATACTTCTCCTCTTTTTCAAGGCAAAGTCGGATGGAACTGCAGGCCAGGAGATTCATCCTCTCCCATTCTATCTCGTCCATGTCATCTGGTTTGTCTCCCAGAGTGAAGTGCAGGTTCATTTGGACAAGCATATCCTTAACTTCGCATCTCCACATGCCGAAGTTGCTGCTTCCATCGAACTTCTCTACCTCGAACTTGGCATGGGACACCGGGGTCCAATGCCTAGAAGTGCTTGTACTGGCTGGATTACTTACGGACTCGGATGCTCTAGATTCTGCCATTTTTTAGAAACTTCAATTCAAAAAACTGACCGTACAGATGTGTCCGGAATACTCCAAATAGTTGGGAAGCACTATTGGATCGTCAAAAACGGACTCCGAATGGCTCCGATCTGGCAAAAACACTTTGGACGGGTCAGATCTGCAGAATCTGGTGCGCTGAGATGCACCGGATACTTTCTCCGGTCAACGGCTTGGTCAACGGCGCAGGCGGCACGGCCAACGCGGCTGGACGGCTGGTCAGCGCGGCTTGGTCAGCGGCTCAGGCTGACTGGGCTGACACGTGGCTGCCACGTGTCTGACACGTGGCGCTGACGTGGCGCTGACGCGGTGCTGACGTGGCGTCACGTGGCTCGTCTTCTTCCTGGAGGCGCGCGTGTGGAGCGTGGGTGAGACTGGGACCACGCGCCGGGTGCCTGAACGGCGCGTGTAGGCGCGTACCGCGACTGTGTCTGACGCGCTTTTTTCAGAGGGCGCGTGAGGGCGCGTTTGGAGGCTTCTTGGCTCTGTTTTTGCTGTTCTGGACTCCTCTCGGGGAGTTCTTCCTCCTGGTATGGTCAAAAGTGGATTTTGAGCACTTCGAAATCTGGGCACTTTCGGGAAAAATTCTTTTTTTCGCAACCCGAGCTCTGATACCAATTGTTGCGGATCGGGGGCACACCAGGGAACTCAAACAAGCAATAACACACAAGATTTAACGTGGTTCGGCAAGTCGCCTACGTCCACGGGCAGCGGATTCACTATATTGAACAAAATGGTAAGAATTACAACACTTTCTGTAATTCTCTCTCTCTCTTTGCTCTCAGCTCACACCTCTCAGCTGTTTCTGATATCTATATCCTCTCCCTCCCGTCTCTATTTATACACAAAGGAGTAGGTGGGAGAGCCTTCATTCTTTGACTTTTGACATGGTTGGTGGCCACCGAGCTTGACTTGGTTGGTTGCTTTCCATTGTTGACATGAGGATCACCCCTTTCACATGGGGTGACCTCCAGAATCTGTAGCCAATTCAACACACCCAAAATCAAAACATTTCTAAGTTATGTTTGGAATTTGAATTTGTTGAAAAAAAGTGAATAGTAGGGAAATAAAATTACTTGTACTTATCCATTTTCTATGATAATCAAACAAAGAAGAAGAAGAAAATAAACTTATGGAAAATGCCTACTCAATTTCTTCACATTTTTCAGAAAATTTTTATTTTTATTTTTCTTGAAAATTCCAAGAACCAAACAAAGCTGTGAAGTCAAAATACACAAAATGGTAAGGAAGAGGCATACCCAGAGTAGTGCTTCGAAGGGAAAGTAGCATTGAAACCTGGAAGCTTTGTGATGAGAGAATTTGCGGGAACTGCTTCAGTTAGACCAAAACCCAAACACATGCAAAGCGAAATGAATAAGAATGTACAACCCATGGTCATGACCAAGTATTTTACATAAAAACCAATGAAATTGCAAGTCCTTTTAAGTGTGATGAATCAGAATCACACAATCATAAAAAATATAAATAAAAAAAAAAAAACATGTAATGCAAACCTCTTCTTCTTCTTTTTTTATACTTTGGTCCAATTTCTTTTTTTCCTGAGTAAATTACAAATTTCACCGTCAAATTTTGATCAGAGTAAATTACAAATTTCTAATTAAAATTTTAAATTTTAATATAAATTCAATGTAATCGTTCTATTTCCTTACGTTTTAAAAATTAATTGAAAATTATTAAAACATAACAAGTTAAAGTAAAAATTGAAAAGTGATGAACTAGTATAGTGTTCAAATAGATAAAGAAGTTTCAAACTCACTCACCAATCGTTCTATTTCTATACTGTTTTGACATTTTCTATAAGGAAAATGTAATAGAGTGACAAAGATAATGAGCTTCAATCAAAAACAGAGAGACAGAGGTCCAAATCTCATAGAGCAATGAAGAGAATATGTGAAATTCGATCGGAGAGATTGAGAAAGTAGATTTGATATTACCATAATAGCAGATCAGAGAGACAAAGAGAGCAGATCTGATTGGATAGAGAGCAGATCTGAGAATAAGATCTACATCTCTACGTCGTTGAGCTTGCTTCGACTTACTGTTGGTAACGATCCAGATCCAATGCTACTTGCTATTCTGTACGTGATCAGAGACATTAACACGACACTCAAAACCCTAGAAAAATCGATTTGAAAAGAGAAAATGAAAAACAGAAGAAAAGAAATTAGAAATCATCTATAAATCGTTAGTTTAAGCCATGAAAGTCTACAGACCTTATGTGAATATAGCAAATCCATATAAAAAAAACTCTAACCTTGAGCCCTAGACCGACTTACATAAGAGGGATTCAAACGATATCACAGACAAATGCTCAAATCAAGTGCAGAACAAGCATTTCTAGATTATACAACCGAAGAATCAATGGAGATCGAAGATCCAAGGCCTTGATTTCTCTCTTTGCCTCTCTCTCTCTTTCTCAAAAGTAATGCTGTGTTCTCTAAAGTCACGCCTCTCTTTTGATCAGAGAAGTCCTGCCTCTTCAATCACAAGTAAATGTTATTTCACAATTTTTTTAATATTAGTGTACAAAACGAGATGAGTAATTTGTTCAAAATGGAAAAAAGTATAGGAGATTTCACGACGTTTTTCAAAAACGTCAGAAAAAAAAACGTGGTGATATCCTCTTTTTCTTGTAGTGAATTAGTATATTAACGGATGATGTTATATAATTTTAGAGATTTTAGGTTTTGTAGTTTATATAATAGGTGAGATTTATAGTTTTAAAGTGACAATCTCATAACATATATTTGTACATTAATTGATATAATAATTAATGCGTGTATTAGATGAGAAAATAAGAAAAAAACATGATAATCAATGATTAATTGAAAATAGTCATACCTTATGGCCTGGAATACCTGAGATTAGTCTTGTATTTTCCGGACGAGTTGGATTTTGTGATTGAGATTTTTTTTTTCGAGCACATGTGATTGTGATTGAGATTGAGTCTTGTATATTCTTCAATGTTTGTGCCTACCGCATAGTAAAGTCAACGACTTTGCCTTCCCAAATTGACTTGGAGTCTTTGGATTTGTTTTGTCAAAATCCATACCTACCTTGTGTTTCGAGCCATTTCAAACGATCTTAATGGGCGATTGTTGAAAAGATCAACAGCGAACCATGATGGTCAAACTAATTGAATAGTCTCAAAAATACTCCTTATTTTTATATCCTTATTATTATGTGTGAAAATTATTTTTAGAAATTTTAAAATGAGCAATATCATATAAATAAAAAATTTATATATAATTTTCATATATAATGATACGATTCATTATGAACTTTTTACCTTAGAACAAAACATCGTTGAAGATAATTTGTCGAGATTCTTGAATTTGTTGGTCTTGCTACTTCCCTATTCTCTGCGAATATGTCCTTCCCTCTGCTCTTGTTTATAATGATAGCATTGCTATATCATTATTATGAAATTTTTGTATGAATATAAATTTTCTTTTAAAACTAATTTTTTGGTGTTTCTCAAGTATAGCTTTATAATGTTTATAATTTATTATTTTTAGTAAAAATGAGAACAAAAAACATGTTCCATACACCTATTAGGCCAAAGGAGATAATTGTCAACGATTAAAAATGAGGGTCACGGGTAATTGTTGGACACTGACAAAGTATTATTACCAGTGAGAGATAATTGGTAATGGCCAAAGTTGGTTGGCAATGATAAAAAAAAATGGTAACTGGAAGTAATTCATGACAGGAACAAGTGGGAGGGAGGGAGGTGATTGGGAGAAATTATTCGTTGATCTTGGGGTACAGTTATGTGGTGTCTCAAGTGATTTTTAATTAGTGAAAAGAGATAGAATTTATGATTTTATATTAGATAATTGAGAAACATAAAAAAATATAAAAGTTTATAATTAGTATGGTTCATAATCACGTGTGCCTTCGGACCAACTAATAATTTGTGAGTGATTGAAAGCACTAGACGTCACTAATTTCAACAATAACAATTTTTAAAGGCGGTTATTGGCAATGGTGGCTGATGGTGGTCATGAACAGTGCATGGTAGTTAGAAAATGAAGAAATGAGCAAAGAAATAAATAAATAAGTGAATGAAAGCACTAGACGTCACTAATTTCAACAATAACAATTTTTAAAGGCGGTTATTGACAATGGTGGCTGATGGTGGTCATGAACAGTGCATGGTAGTTAGAAAATGAAGAAATGAGCAAAGAAATAAATAAATAAGTGAAACATTTTTTTTTCTTTTTTCTGTAATTAGTAAAATTTTGTGAATTGTTTCAACTTTTAAAAACAAAAGCAGACACTAAGCAAGTTTTTGGTTAGGAGATAGATTCTATCTAATCCAAAATGTAGATTGGAAGGCATTGTTTGGACATGTGGGGTCATATTCTGTTTTGAGAATCTGAATCGTTTATTTTGTTGAGTATTTTGTGTATTTTCTCCTTAAAAAAAATTAAATCGATTCGATAATTGTAACCTATTCCATTTCTTGTGTTATCACCCAAAAAATTAATAGTTTATTTTTAAAAATACAATTTGTGTCTATTTTTTTTGTTGACAAACGCGAAAAATTAAATAAATTACGATTATTGGATAGACTTAATTTTTTTTTTTTTGTAGATGAAGTATCCAATTTTTTTTTTGTAGATGAAGTATCCAAAATGCTCGACAAAATGTATAATTCGAATTATCAAAATGAGACCTATGATGAACTTCAAGACTCTACATTCCAAATTTTGAACTAAAAAAAAGAAAATCCTCCTTTGGTTATAATTTTAAAAATTCTACAAATATAAATAGAAAGCCGTGACCATAAATGTTACCAAACAGACCTTTAGAAGAAAAAAAAAACAAAAAACAAAAAACAAAAAACAAAAAACAAAAAACAAAAAACAAAAAACAAAATATTAATTTCCAAAAGAAATTTTAAAATCACTTTGGAAAAAAAATTTATGAAACAAATATAGTATCCTTTCCATTAA